AATAATTATATTATATTATATTAATTATATTTACATATAAAATATTAATTTTATATATAATATAAGGGTAATTTTGTTTATATAAAAATATTTATGTTTCATTCTATAGTATTCTTAAAATTATAACTAAATAAATAAATAATTTTTTTTTCATAATTATTACTATTCTCATTCTTATTACTCTTACCATTCACCTACGTAACTAACTAAACGCACATTTAGGCCCCGTTCATTTCGCTGATTTGAGTTTAGAATTCGAGTTTTGCTACAGTAAAAAGCTCTCACAAACAATCACATCTAACTTTTTTGCTACAATAAAAAACTCTCACATAAAATTACATCTTCACTCAAATTAAAAATTCAAATTAAAAACTCAAATCAGTGAACTAAACGGACCCTTAGAGTAAGGAATAAAGGCGGGGGAGGGGGGGCTAACATCATGAAAGAACAAATAAACTGGACACACAATCACGTGTTCAAGAGTTCATAATCGTTGGAGTCCAGTAGCCCATATTTTGAAGGCTTTTTGCAGACATCAAGCCTACAAATGGATGTGAGATAGAAGCCCATACAAAAAGTCATGTGGTTGAGATAGAAGGCAGAAAGCCTCAACCTTTTCCTAGATGTAAAAGGCCAATCACAAAACTTTGATAGTATGATAGTTTTAAAAACTGCGAATGATTAGAATTAGGAATTAAAAACTTTTGGACGTTGACACGGGCAATGACCAGTAATCCCTACAAGGGATCTGTCTCGATCGGTTGGAGATGGAGGATAATATAATTAGAGTCTACAAAATTTTATCCTCGAGTCATGGTGGGACGAGGATGGAAAAAGCACTTACTAAATTATCCTCATCTAAACCTAAAATAGAGACAAACGCGTTTATTTCACATTTATTTCGATCTACAATATTAAATTTTTAAACACAATAGTCCGATTTTATTATTAAGTTTGATTTGCATATCGTTTGTTTTGTTTAACCTAATTTAATTTTGGTTTAAATTTATACTTAATTTTTGTTTTAAATTGCCATAATTTTAAAATTTATGGTTATTATTAAACGGGGTATAGAGTGAATATAGAAAAGACCTCTTTAATGAAGAATCTACAACCCCGGTCTCGTCTCTCCTTTTGGCTGTAGGGATCGCTTTTGGGGCAGAAATGGTATGGGAAATCATCTCTCGCCCTTACCCCGTCATGACCAATCACAAAAGCTCCTCTTTGTTGCTTTGGGACGGTGAAATATATGGCGCGTTTGAAACTCGTTTCAAAATGATTTTATTTTTTGTATGAAAATGAAAATAAAAACGTTTTCAATTTTAGATAAAAATCATTTTTGAAAATGCCTTTGGTAGTTTTTTCAAGAGATTATTTTCAGTATAAAAAAAATCTATTAATGTCTTTCTAGGAGAAACATAAACAAAAAATGAAAAACTACTAAAAGTCATTTTTCATTTCTCTCTCATTTTACACTAAACTAAAAAATTGTTTTCATTTCTGTTTTTTATCTTTAATTGTATCAAACGTTATTTTTCTTCCATTTTCATTTTTTCTTTATCAAAAAACGTGAAAAATAGAAATAAAAACAACTTCAAATACAACCATAATTTTTTCCTTCCAAGTCTTTTTATTTTTCGAGTATTTTGTTGCTTTTGGACGGTGCAATAATTTATTCTTCCAAGTCTTTTTATCCTATGCACGTAACATATGGGCTTCAACATTTTGGCACGTTGGTCGTTTGTTTTCAATTCCATGTCAACAAGTTTTACATGGAAATCACGTGTATGTGAATTTTTGTTTTTTGGTTGATAAGTAGTCTTGTTAAATCTCTTTCCATTTGAACTCCAACAACAAGTTCACCCCGATAGCACGTAACCGAGTTGACTTTTGTTTTCATTTTATAAAAAAACAACCCAACTTACTTAGGGGTTGTTGTTTTGTATTTCTGACTAACGATAACTTGAGTGATGATATTAAGTTGAGTTTGAATTATAACTTGAGTTGAAATTATAACTTGATTTTTGTGTTTAGATGTACACATTAGTTATAATTTGAATTGATAATCTTTTTGAGTTTGTATTTGGGTGTGTTAAAACTTAAATTTGTATTTAGATAATATTTTAATAAAAACTTAATGGTGATGAAAAATTTTAATATGGTATATGGGTGAGGTTTTATTCGTCTTTTCGTTGTGAATGCATAAGAAAAAAATCATCTCAATCAGAATTAAAACAAAAAAGTTATGACATTTTTAAAAATAGAAAAAATATTGTTTATTAACTTGAGTTCGAGTTTATAAACTTAAGTTAAAAGGGAAACTTAAACTCAAATTTAATAATAAATTTGAGTTTAAACTCAAATTTTATAAAAAAAATATGAATTTAAATAAAATTATAACTTAAATTTAAATTTTTTATGAGTTTTGTAATAAAAGAATAACGCTGTTGAGTTGGAGACTTTGGACTCCATAACCAAATTGACCGCTTTTCTGAATCTCCGTCCACCCGCCGTCCATGTGTTTTTCTCCTAATGCACCGTCCATGATGTGTTCTACCATCCGCGTGTTTAAAACTTATTCTTTTATTAAGGAGTTTTTTTTATTTATTTTTTATTTGAAGTGGAGTTTTCTTATGCATTAGACACTTATAAACTGTTTTTTTTTTTTAACTCGTAAAGAAGTTATCTTCCTAATTTGTAACTATTTTCTTCAAGCTCTATTATTTGTTACCTATTTATGTTACTAGCTGTTATGTCACATTAACACGTGTAAAACTAGCTCAAAAAAAAAAAAGAAAAAAGTTTTCCGGCCAAATAAAAAGATAGTATATAATTCTGAAATTCGTTAAAAAAAACAAAGAGAATGATCACCCTTCGGTTTGACTATTGATGACATGGGAAAGATACACGGCCAAATACATGTCTCAATTTAAGCCGTAAAGATGTCAAATGTGCGATGAAGTCGAAACCTAACCAAACATCCCAAGACCTCATCCAATTAAAGTTGGCTGTTATTTGTCACTCCCAAGGTACAAATTCACAAAACGCATATTGTCCCCAACCCTCAGAATCTTCCTTTTCATTTTTTTTTTTTGGCTCAATTCAATTAATGCGCGTGTCACCCTCTGTACAGTGTATATTATCTCACCAAAACACATAAAAAAAAAAAACTCCACCAAACTCACACAAACAACACACCAAAATCCTTCCTTTGTGGCCACAAACTTATCCCCAAGATTTCCCCTCTCTCTCTGTCTCTCTCTTAGCCAATAGCCATTAATTTCCAAAAACCCCACAAACACTTTGTTCTCTTCTCTTCTCTAAACCCATTTCTTGTTCTTACTTCTTAGGCCATAAAACATCACCATGGAAATCATAGATTAAGTTTGTTTGTTTGTTTGTTTTTTTTCAATTCCACTTTGTAAATTCAGATATGAATAACTCTTCAACCGTGGCTCAAGAGCCTAGTCCCGTCTACGACTTGGTATCCCAATTGGGTCGTTTTGCTTTCACTTCCAGGTTTCGCAATTTCGGCTCTGATGGGCACTCTTCTTTCCTCTCCAATTTCATGTACTGCGACTCATTTTCCGGGAAAAAACTCGAGGCCGGTGCTTCCCTCAGTTTGAGCAGTAAAAGCAGTTCGAATATTAGGAAAATCGTGATTCAGTTCAACAGAGCTATTAGGCTTCACTGCGAGAGGATTCCGATTGGGTTCGCTTCGGTTAGGATTGGTTCTGGGGATAATAGTGGTCCCGGGAATAATAACAATGGCGGTGGGGACAGTAACAATGGACTGAAAGAGCACGGAATCGGTATTTTGGAGGATGATGGCTTGGCCTTGAATGGCGTGGAAGCTGAGAACCCGAAAAAGGTTCTGATTTTGATGAGTGATACTGGTGGCGGTCACCGAGCTTCTGCGGAAGCCATAAAGGCTGCTTTCCATGAAGAATTTGGTTATGAATATCAGGTTAGAAATAACTGTAATGGGTTTTTCTCAATGTGTCATTTCAACTCCTATAAGATTGGAAATTGATAACTTTTGTAGTTGAATATATTGGGTGTAGGATATTTAACATGCCATTTATTTTAAATAATGATGGCTTTAGAAAGGTGTGATATTGGTTTGTGATTGGTAAATCTCTTGTTGTTATACCTTTACAAAGTATTGTTGCATTGAATAAATGTATTATATACGTACAATACAATTGATCCTTAACGAAGGGATTAACCCATACGTGTATGTATACTGGTTTGATTGAGTTATGCAACTATTTGGTTTAGTTCAGGTGAGTTTTAGCTCTAGCGGTGGTCCACAAAACTAATTTACTTTCTTTTCCCTCCTTGGTTTTAAGAGTTAAAAAGTGCATGTAACAGGTTTTTGTTACCGATTTGTGGACGGATCATACGCCTTGGCCATTTAATCAACTTCCCAGAAGCTATAATTTCTTGGTGAAACATGGGCCGCTATGGAAGATGACATATTATGGAACTGCACCTCGAGTTATACATCAGTCCAATTTTGCTGCAACTTCAACGTTCATAGCTCGGTAAGTCTTGCTTTCCTTTACAGTTATGCTTCGTGTCGTTCTTATGAATTGACCGCACATGTGAAAAGATCTCAGCTGGAATTAGATATTGCTTGTTTACTTGCCCCTACTTAAGTTCTATACATCACTATCTTATTTTTTCCACAACTACTTTCACTTTCATTTATTTGCCCGCCTTTTCATATTGGTAATGCTAGGTCTTGTATATGGTCCCAGTAATTGTCTCACCACCTTTCATCTTGAATATGCTTGAAATCGTGAAAGGTCAAAGTTCTTACACAACAGTACGAGGAAAAGAGCAGACTGTTAGTAAAGAAAATCTAAAAGTAGCATAGAAAAAGAGGACATCTATCCAACACTATGCGTGAAAAATGTGTTTGTCAGTCCGGATTCAGTTTAAAAGTGTTGTTTCTCTATTTGGGCCTGAAATAGAAGTATTGTTGAAGATAGCAATTATGATTAAATAATTTCATTTGTTTTTTTCTTTATTTTTTATTTTATTTTATTTTTTTAATCTCAGAGAGGTTGCAAAAGGACTGATGAAGTACCAGCCGGATATTATTATCAGTGTACATCCACTAATGCAACATGTACCACTTCGTATCTTGAGGTCAAAGGGTCTGTTGGAGAAGATCGTGTTTACGACAGTAGTTACTGATCTTAGCACTTGCCATCCTACATGGTCGGTTAAGCTCACAGGTGTATGATAATAACTCCTACATCTTGTCATAGTTTCTGACGTTGTGTATCTCATTGGTCAGGTTTCATAGGCTTGTAACAAGATGCTATTGCCCAACAGCTGAGGTAGCAAGAAGGGCACAGAAAGCTGGACTCAAACCTTCCCAAATCAAGGTTTATGGCCTCCCTGTACGACCTTCATTTGTCAAGCCCGTTAGGCCAAAGGTTGGTTGGTTACCTTCCTAACTGATCAATTGTTCGAGTTTGATTCTTTCTTTTGCTGTAAACTATCCTTCATTGCATTACCTTCAAAGGGAACATAAACATTTTGGATATATTTCCATACACGTGCGTTGCTTTCCGACAAGTACAGTTTCTTCTGCCACATGCCCACATTTACTCGCTTCCAATATCCTGGTGTTTCTAATTCCTTGTAAATAAGATCAGTAACTGAGAGATTTGGATTTATATTTTCCATCTTGTGGAAACCTGATTTGTGGTGCATATTTAACTTGTTTGGTTTGTCACATTGCACGCAATTCTGTAATTTTAGGTGATTGTGGATATTTTAAAATTCCTTCTGTTGCCAACTGTCATTATTTGTCATATTGCATTTCACGTTGCCCGTTGTTCCTTCTTATCCTACAGGTTGAACTAAGGAGGGAACTGGGTATGGATGAGGATCTTCCTGCTGTGTTGCTGATGGGAGGGGGTGAAGGGATGGGCCCTATCGAGGCTACTGCTCGGGCTCTTGGTGAGGCATTGCACGATGACGTTCTTGGGGAGCCAACAGGCCAGGTTCTTGTGATATGCGGTCGCAACAAAAAGCTCGCCAATAAATTGCGTTCAATGAATTGGAAAGTTCCTGTCCAGGTATTGTTGTATCTCCCTCTCAATTATAACATTTTATAATGCTCTGGCTTTTATGTTTTCTAATTGGTGATAGGCAATGCAGTTGCCTAGAACTGGATTGAGATTATTCCATATCATCCTTTCAGTTCTTGGCCGCACATTTTTTTTTTTCACTCGATGTCTTTCCTTATTACATCAGCTACATAGATACACAAACATAGAAGTTGCTGATATCGATCAATATTGTAGGTGAAAGGCTTTGTCACTAAAATGGAGGAATGCATGGGAGCTTGTGACTGCATTATTACCAAGGTAAGTTTCTCATGGCAAATTTTTAACTGTCTTTACTCTTCTATTTAATCATAAGCTGATCTAGCTACAATCACCCCTGTGTAGGCAGGCCCTGGGACTATCGCAGAAGCCATGATAAGAGGGGTGCCTATCATTTTGAATGATTACATTGCGGGGCAGGTAGTTTATTCCCGTTCTACTCTGTTTTTTCCTTAAATCATCTCCTGGTGGCTTTAATGCAAATTTTCATCTTGATACAGGAAGTTGGGAACGTGCCTTATGTGGTTGAAAATGGATGTGGGAAGTTCTCAAAATCTCCAAAGGAAATAGCGAATATAGTTGCTCAATGGTTCGGTCCGAAAGCTGATGAGCTCAAGGCCATGTCACAAAATGCACTAAAGCTGGCAAAGCCTGATGCTGTGTTTAAGATTGTTCATGATCTTCACGAGCTTGTTAGACAAAAAAGCTATATACCCCAGTATTCATGTACACCTTAAACTTTTTGTTTCCCAAAAAGCAATTTTTGCAATGAGCTTCCATGGATAGATAGTCTTGCGTCGTTGAGCAAAATGGAATTTTCTACTATGCCCTTTTCATTCCATTACGATTGTCTTTTAGAATGACGCTTGGTTTTTTTGCCAGCATGGAAGTCTTGTCCATAAGCAGATTCCATCTCGTCTAGAAGCAGGTATCCCCTTGTTGTAACTGTCTTTATTATATAAACAAAGAACAAAAGCCAACGAGAGCTGTTTTTTTCTTGGAACGCACGTTAAGACATTTTTACGCTGTCATGTTTTGTTGGAACAAAATCAGGGCACGAGCAGTACACTTTGGAAATGTGCCCCGTGTTTTTTTGGATTAAGTTTGTATACAACCAATCCTTGCATTTACTTTAAAATTAATGGTAAGGACACAAGTTTTAATCTTTAATTTTTTTATATCAACTTATATAATATGTGAATTGTTATCATTTTGATAATTATTTAAAAGATCGTCTCGTGTCATCCTTTGATAGTTGTTTGTTTAAAAGATTATCTACGTCAATTAATAAAAGGATATAAAGGGTCCTTAACGAACATGCAAATTTCTGGCTTCAATTTGGGGACCCACAAGCATTTTTTTAATCTCGTTGCCTCAGAGGTTGTTACATCTCACAATTAACAGTTGAATTTTCTATTGTAAAAGGGAAAAATAATCAATACAAGCTAGATTCATTACATTTTACATGAGCGAGACGACCAGTCTATGCTTGGTAGCCTGTATCATCCAATACAACAGTATAACACAACTAATCTAGCACATAATGGTGCAACAAACAAAACCCTAACTCAATATTATTATTACAAACCGCGTCACTAAGCCTTTCATTCCGCATTTTATCCCGATTCCACAGTTCTGATACAACACTAATCCATCTTAACATGATCAGTGTTCGAGGCCATCCACACTTAACAAGCTCCATATTCACTTCTCTCCACATAAAGTTTTACCAGCTTGCAGGGCAAAATATGTGAGGATGATGTCTGCGCCTGCTCGTCGAAGGCACATCAATGATTCCATCATAACCTTTTCTTCGTCAATCATTTTAAGAACTCCACCAGCCTTGATCATTGAGTACTCACCTGATACCTGAACTCAGATGTGAAGAGAACTTATATCTCGGGTAAAACGAAGACGTGTAAAGTTCAAAATAAGAAGTGAGGGCCCGTTTAGTTTGCTGATTCGAACTTTTAATTTGAGTTAAAATGCGACTTTATGCAAGAGCTTTTTATTGTAGCAAAAAAGTTAGATGTGACTGTTTCTGAGAGCTTTTTACTGTAACAAAACTCGAATTATAAACTCAAATCGATAAAATGAACGGGGTCTGAGAATATCCGTGTAGTCCACTTAAACGACGGCTTTAGTTACCACTACATAGATGAAAAGGCTATATGAAAGGAGAAAACATTACAAAGATTACCTGATAAGCCGCAATGGGCAAAGGAGAATTATCCCGGAGTAATCTTATGATATCTAAATATGGGAGACCAGGTTTCACCTACATATCCAGTTAGGTAACGTCAGTGAAAAAGTTTTTCCATTAAATAGGCCCAAAGATTAGAAGCAAACAATACCAACCAAGAGAATGTCAGCTCCTTCAGCCTCATCTTCCCGGGTTTCTATTAAAGCTTCTCTGTAATTTGCTGGGTTCATCTGATAACTATGGTTTTGGAAGCCAAAGCAATACACAAATCAGCAGCAGATGATTTTATTTTTTATTTTTTAAACAGAGCAGCAGATGATTTAAATTAAAGAAACTTCCTATGAAATGCAACAACAACAAAATACATACGTCTTTTTGTCACCAAAACGTGGGTTCGAGTCTAACGCCTCTCGAACAACTACAACAAAATGCATACGTCTTTTTGTCACCAAAACGTGGGTTCGAGTCTAACGCCTCTCGAAATGGACCATAGAACGAACTTGCATACCTGTTTGCAGCATAATAGATTACATGTTAAAAACAGTTGGTCAAATGAATCATGTAAATCTACAATCCATCAGAGTATATATATAGAAGGCTTTGAGCTATATACACCCACATCCGGTCTATGACACAGAAACCAAATGAAACCATACGCAGTGAGTCAAGAATCTCCTATTTGTTTTTAAGAGACAAACGATGTTTGTAGAATATACAAGAATGAGTGAAAATGATGCATCAAGAGAGAAAGAGAACAAAAGATTTACTGTGAGACAGAGTGATCTGTAAAAAGTTATAAAAAAAAAAAAAGAAAAAGAACTGTGACAATAAATATTACTTTGCTGTATAGGACATGATAGAAACATGATGAAAGCCTTCAGCATCAAGAGCAGCACGAATTGCTCCTTCACGACCATCCATCATATCACTAGGACTGACAACATCAGCTCCAGCTCGGGCCTATATTTGAAGTAAAACAGAAGCAAACCAAAGTTTGTACGTCATATTTGCCTCAAACCAAGCACATTCAAACAACACCGTAGTAAATGTTGAAACCATCGGCAAAAAAATTTGAGTGGAGTACGAAAAAGTTTATGTTCTAGCTCCACCCTTAAATGGCTGGACTAAAGTTATTCCACATATAAATCAGGAGAACAATGTTTCTGGCCATCCCAAGTTACCCTCGAGGAATTTTAAAAAGTTGCAAAGAAAGATGAAATCCGAATAGCTAATATATGAGATGGCAATTGAATTGAAGGAATAGAAACCTCAAGCTAGTGTAACATAATTCCAACGCATAGACAAAAACTTGCCCCATAATTACCTGGGAAACAGCTTGTTTACATAACTGATGTACTGTCTCATCATTCATTATTACTCCTGCAGTGGATCAAGTTCAAATTTGGATCAACATCTCTGTATCTAAGAAAGTAAACTATTTTAAGAAGAGCATTGGCATGGACAAATTGTAATCTGGAATTTAAAATTACGTTGTAGTTGTTAGAAAATAGGGATAAAGTAGACACAACCAGTTTTTCACCAAATAAACAAACTGAACCATCATAGACAAGAAAATCATAAAGTACATTTGCCTCACCATCTTCCCTAACGATACCATCATGCCCATCAGATGAGTAGGGATCTAAAGCAACATCAGTGTAGATAACCTGATGAAAACAGATCAAACAACTTTAGAAATTTATGTACTTCGGTACATAAGTCACAACAGTTATCTAGAAAACATATTAACCTCAAACACTGGTGTTTACTTACAAGATCAGGGAATTTATCCTTGAGCAACCGTATTGTTCGAGGCACCAAACCATTATCATTGTATGCTTCATCTCCAGTGGGAGACTAAGAAACAAAAACCAAACATACTATGTAATTCTATAAAATATGAGATTTATATACAAAAGGAGAGTAAGAACCTTTAAACCATCTGGAACTTTGGGGAAAAGCACAATGCTATTGACACCATAAGCTCGGGCCTTAGAAACCTGCTCAAACAAGGCGCAAACAGTGATTCTGAATGCATGAATGAAGATTGAAAACCGACAAGTCATATATTGGTAGGTACTCCTATAATAGTATATACTAATAGTATATACTATGTAACATCAACGTGACCGTTTTTGTTTCTTTCTTGGTGCCTTAGTTACTCCATGCGGAGAAAATCTTATAAGTGGATTACATAGAACAACTAATGAGTATAAAAGTCAATTCCTTCGGAAAAATCTGAATAGACAGAATCATTATCACCTCTTCCACAAGTCCATGTCTCCATCCAAGCCTATAACATCCCGGCATAGCTCCAATAGGTGTGTCCTCCTCACCTGCAAGGTTTGAAAAAATAACAGTGGATGACCAAACGACACAAATAGATAAAAAGCTTTCCATATACATAAGCAAAAACATCAAAAGGAATATCAGAATCAATACCAAACCTTCATGAATAAAAAGTGGGTAGACCAAATTGGCAGGTGATAAGGTTGTTTCTTGAAATGCCGCCCTTACTGCAGGCGAACTCCGGTTCCGACGAGGCCGCCGACTTAATGGCTGATACAAACACCAACACCCCATACAAACACAATTGTCAATCCTTAGAAAACTAACAATGAATGTGGACCCAATTATTCAAACTTTTCGTCGTGTAATCTCATGTTCCACTGCCACAACACACATGAGGTGATAAACCACCAAGGACCATACCTATAATTACTCGAATTGAATAAACCAATTAAATTAGCTTCTCGGGAACTCATCCACAAGTAAAATTCAAAGCTAAAACCACTGCTAATTCTCAGTATAACAAGTTGATTAATACAAATTCGGTAATTTGACTCACAAGCGTAGGGACCACAGGAGTTCCAGCAGGTGCCTTAGGCTTAGGCGGCACCGGCGGCGCTTCCGGCACATTCCCGGCGACCACAGCGGCTTCGCACTCAGCATCGCTCAGTCCCAGCTTTTCAAAGGGCTCGTTATGCGATTGGCTCCCCCTCCCCGCCAATCGACGGCCACGATTCGCCTTGATTGAAATCCGAATACGATTAAGGCTCTTCACGTTAATCGACGGCCTGGGACCGACGTAGGTCTGACAATCCAAGCCCATCGTCGCCCCCACATTGCTTGGCGCATTGATTATCGTCGACGCCATGAAAATTCAAGCGAAACAGCACAGGATATTTCTGAAAAAAAAAAAAGTGATTTTTTGCACGACTAGGTAAAGGTGCTGAAAAAGCACGCAGAATATTCCAGAAAAAAGCGGAGATAGAGAGTAAAAAAGAAAAGCAATAACTTTGTTTGTTGTTCGATTTGTCATCTGTTTAGACGTCGGAGAAAAGCCTTACCTTTGGACGGAGGAGCTGTTGCTGCTGGTGTAGAGAGAGAGAGAAAGAGGAGAGAGAGAGATTATCTTATGGGGACGGGGGAAATAGGAGGGAGCCAATCAGGAGAGAGCGATGTCCGCCGAGGAGGACCAAAGGGAAGGATGAAGACGCCTGACAAATGTCCTTGGATCCGGGATTCTCCTGGGCCCCACGGATGAGATCAGATGAGTCCCTCAAGCCCCAACGACATCTCTTTACTGTTACTAAATGTTTGTCGTTTATTGTTCCCTCTTTTCTGAGGGAAAACGTAAAAAGGTCCAAAGAATTGAATTGGAGATGCGGGGTATCGATCCCCGTACCTCTCGCATGCTAAGCGAGCGCTCTACCATCTGAGCTACATCCCCATGCTTGAACAATGTATGGAACTCTTATTATTTAATTGATACTTATAAACTCGAGTCATTGGTTCTGGTTTAGTTAATCGTCACGGAATTTAATGTGTCGTTTATTTTCAGGACCTGTTTCCCTCCATGCATAATGCATACTCTTGTGGTCTGTGGACACCAAAGGGTGGTATCTAACACGTAAATAATTCATTTTAAATAATGAGTTTTAGCAGAAACTATTAAGAAAATCCATTTCAAATATTAAAAAAAAAAAAAGAAACTGATAGATGATCACATGCGCGATACGTGCCATTTTTTTTTTTTTTGTAAACAAATTTAAAGACATTTAGATGGTGATACGTTATTGTCACCAATTCTCAACTTGATTACACTTTGTGCTATAGAAATGGGATTCGTTATATAATTTCATGTCCAAAAATGTTATTAACCTTTTTGTTTTGCATGAGGCAGAATAGGAACCACAATCAGTTTTATTTTATGGGACCAAAATATTTTTAGATGTCTACAACGCTCTGACTAAAATGTTCACTTTTCATATATAAACTATTGAAACCTGACAAACTATATGAAGAACGATAGATAAGGATTTATGAAAAGATCAGCGTAGATCCGGAAAAATAAATAAATAAATAATGAAGATCGTAGTCTTTGTCCTTATTTTATCTTTTTTTGATTGTTTTGACGCGTGATTCTGAAACTCACGGGTTACACAGCGCATAACCTTCTTCATCTACATTTGATATATAGTGACCTCGTTCATTTCACCGATTTGAGTTTATAATTCGAATTTTGTTATAATAAAAAACTCTCAGAAATAGTCACATCTATTTTTTTTTTTTTTTTTTGCTACAGTAAAAAACTCTCGCATAAAGTCACATTTCAACTCGAATCAACGAACTAAATGATGTAGCATGAAGTGAGGGTTGGGATCCAACGTTAGTTGGATCTCGTTTTGTATAATTTTTTTTTTTTAAATGATGTAGCATTAGTGTATTGCGACATAATCTAGTGTAGAAGAGTATTTTTCTTGTTAGTTTTCCTTGACAATTTTTTAGTGAATTGACGATTAATTTTAACGGTTAGATTACTTGGATCCTTCGAATGATCTATTTAAATATAATTGATGATTTCAGGGGCGCAAAGAGATTAATGGAAGATCACCCAACCAGTGCCATTAACCAATCATATTAGGATTTCGATAGTATAAGCTTAATTTGCCTCTGAATGTTACTGCATAAGAAGGTAATATATTTCTCCATTTGTATTCTGATTATTAGCTGCAAAAAGCTATATTAAACACCAATTATTGATTTCCGACATAATGTAATCAGTTCTCCGTTGCTAGGCTCCATCTACGTGAGAAGTGCATGAATTGTATTTATCATTTGTAGTCACGAGGCTTGATAGTTGACATTGTCAACAATTAAACAGCAAATAATTAAACAACTACGTCTATATAATCATAATGTTTTTTTTTTTTTTTTAGCTTCCAAATGCACCTATTAGTCTATTAGTCTATTTATTTATTTATTTTATTAACGTTAAATCTCAGTTTTAACTATCTCCTATAAGAGTTTCTTCAACTATGCTAGTCATTTTATATTTTTAATTAAAATAGTTAATAATTTTTTTTTTTTTAATTTTTCTCCACTCCAATCATTAATTAAATGGTTAGCTAATACACTTCACTATAGCCAAATATTGCTAGCAAAAAGAAGACGTTAGTTATTTTTTTCTGTTATTTTATTCTTTCAAACACTAATAAATGTAAAGGATTCTTTTTCAAACTCACTAAAGTTATTTATATTTTAAGTTCAATAAATATTTAAATATTTTATGTTTAATTAAATTAATAGAGAGTGTAATTAAAGTGTCTCACTTAAAAAATTATCAGTTAAAATAACTTTCTAATTATTTTAAAGGAATTTCTTGGAGATTGTCTATGGGCCACGGAGTCAAAAGCTCCAGAAACAAACTGCCCTATAATTCCGTTGCCACTTGACTAATTAGATATTGACTGGTGCCATTAATTATAATTTCATATTACTACAATTGCGGCCACGATGTAAGAAACTTAGCAAAATAATCAACCGTCTGACATATAGGCCCTGATCCATTAAACTAATTCACTAGTTTAATTTGCATAATTCTATTTTTTTTTTCACTTTTGCCCTCTTTTATTTAAGCCGAGGCCAAAAGTCAAGCACACACTAACAGTCTAATGGCTAGCCAAAGCCTACAATGCAAAAGGCTGCTAGGCATATGTCAAACCGAAACTACCACTCAATTTATCACTAATCATCCCATATTTATACCGGAAATGCGCAAATGCGTGCGCAATTTTTCTTACAAATGGATAGAGTGTAAGTTGAAAGTGCATGTGAAATTATGCGTTGACATTATTAGCGTGAAAATGACTAACCTTGTTTGAATATGTCTGATTTTTATTTTTTTATCAAATTTTTTTAAGTTTTCATGTGTTTAATTCAATATAATATAATGCGTTTTGATAATTCAGAGTTATATTTTACTAACATGATAGTTTTTTATACCTAACGATGCAGAATTTTTCAACTAATGTATCCTAAAATCTTGGTGAAGATCTTTTAAAGCGTTGCCCACTGGTTTGGGTTAACCTTGTTATATAGCTAGATTAGTCTTTCAGGTATAGTCATAGTACTAGAAGTAACAAAATCACTTTTCAATATTCTCATCATCAATCACCTATAGTTGGATTAACCAAAGGAGAGACAATACATATTTACACGCGCGCGTACACACACACACACACACACACACACACACATATATATATATATATATATGAAATAGTTCCTTCGAAAATCAGAGTTCTTTTTATTTTTTTATTTTTTTTCTCTTCTCATTTTCTGGGGGACTCTAATTTTCTGTCTTTTACAATAAAGTTCCCTTGAATCGTGGTCTTAATCAAAGAAAAACATTATGCAAGAGCAGTACCTTACGTCTATGAACTTCGTGATTTTTTTAGCAAAAAAAAAAAAAAAAGAACTTCGTAATTCATCACCTTTTGTGTATATTTATCGTTATCCTATTTTCGTGGCCATTGTTTGACAAAGATCTGTCATATATTTGTGGTCCAATTCAAATAAAGAAGGCCATGCATAGTCTTTTAGCGTATAATGAAAATCGTGAAAGAAATTCTGAGAACCACCAATATATATATATATATATATCTATGTATGTGTGTATATATATATATTCTGTAAAAACATAGTATTAAGAGGAGGGGACAAGTATTTTTGACGAAAGGGGACCATGTACATCATTGAAAAAAAAAAAAAAAAAACCATAGTGGTGCACTAGTTGTGCATGTAATTTGTCAACAATAAAATCTTGCAGGATATCATGCGTAACGTGGTTAAGCATAAAAGAATTGAAGGAGATTTTGATTTGAAGTAAAGCGAGTCGTGGATAACATTCAAGCAAAAGCCTTTTCCACAACAAAATTATAAAATCACGCAAAGGGGGGGTTTCCATCTCATTAAGAACCAAGAACAGTGTGCGCAGTAGTTTTTGTTTTGCTTTTAAGAAAGAGAAGATTATAGGCCAAAATATTCTTAACTTTTCAATTGAAGTTTATAGACACTGAATTTTGATATAACTAAGATCTAGACAATTAGGTAAATATATATTTGGTTTTATATTTGATACAAGATATTAAGGGCCCGTTTAGTTCACTAATTCGAGTTGAGATGTGATTTTGTATGAGAGCTTTTTACTGTAAAAAAAAAAAAAACTAAATGTAACTGTTTCTAAAAGTTTTTTATTATAGCAAAACTCGAATTCTAAACTTAAATCGAAAATGAACGGGCCTAAAAAGGGTACTAATATAACTAGCAATTATAAAAGTTTCGTTTTGGTAGAATATCTTATATCTCCGGCTAAAACGACTGAAGCCTCTCTTAAATAAAACAACTTTCTAATGTTCTGAATTTAATCAAAGTAAGAAAAAACTTCTAAGTTTTATTTTTTATTTTTTATTTTTAGTTCTAAAGCTTTTCCAAGAAGGCCTAAGAGGCGCCGGGTTTTTTACGTGAATAATACTATATTACTGGCATGTTTCAAATTATTATGATATTGTCATCGTGATTGAATTTCCTTTCAAGTCTTAATTCAAATTTCAATGCGAGTGACAACGACAAATATGAAAAAAAAATAGAGAGCGGCATACTGGTTTTGTAAGTTTATGGATAAAAACACAGCATGTCAATTATTTTATAATAAGAGAATTTCAAAATTAACTCTATATGTGTCATTTATATTATCATTTTAGTCCAGAGTTGTTCCTTATTTGCCTCATTGGATGTTGACTCTTCACTATATATTTACCATTTAAATTTAACAAATTCACCACATCAAAATACAATTTTTTTCTTAGTAAAAAAAACAAAAATAAAAATATTTTAATAATTCATAAAACGTCAAAATTTAAATTTAGCATCTATCGAAAAGGGGGAAAAAAAAGTCTAAATGCATGCAGGACATAATTGTCATTATCTTTATCCAAAAGCTAAACCTAATTAGCGGATTTAATGGAGAAAACAAATTCTAATTAGCGGAAAGAAAGATTCTTTCGGCCTTTCAATCTTTTGGAAATTAAATTAACTTACCCAAGGTGATTAAGAATACTGAAAGTGTTATGAATAATAGACGTCTATTTCAGTTAAAGTTATTATGTAATTCAGTCAAAATTATTATTAATGTCAGAATTTTATTGTACAAATAGTAACCCTAAATAATAAATACTATGCAAATAATAACCATGACTTACCAAGGTGATTAAAAATACTGAAAATATTATGAATAGTAGTTGTCTATCATAATTAAAATTATTATACAAATCAGTCAAAATTATTATTCATGTCAGAATCTTATTGTACAAATAATAATCATAAATAGTAAGTATTATATAAATAATAACTGTGAATAATACTAAAAATTTTCTTATAAATAAAACTCTAAAATTCTTCATTTTATATACGTTCATAAGAATAATAAAACTGTCTCTCTAATTTCTTTATCTAAAATTTTTCTTCTTAATTTTATATTTTCTTAGTTTTCGTGACAAAAAGATATATATAACTTGAATTCAAATCCATTCCGTTGACTGATGATAAAATTACATTGGGTCTTGGGAGGAGGCATAGGTGGACCCCATTTAAAGCTGACTGGCTCATGACATATTACAACATTGAGAAAGCAAACTTTTAAGGAGGCCCAGCGAGAGATCTACTGAAATCTTACAAGATTTTTGGATGACCTGATTAAAGAAAGATGATCGAGTCGATCCTGATTTGTAGTGAGAAAAGGGTCCACAATGCTTCCCCTAGTCAAAGCAACTGAATAAATGGAGACTATAGAGGAAATACTTTATTACTTTACAATCATGTGGACGGCACGATCCAATGTGTAAGAGAAAAAAGATGGCAAACAAACACGCTTTGCTTTTTTATATGTACAGAAAATAAAGATTGCATTAAAGCTCCTTAGATTTCAGATGATTTTCCTAGAGGCACATATTTATTGGTTTACTACATGTAGAAACTCGTAGAAGCATTTATAGTATGAGGCTAACGTGCACACAAGCACCGGTATCTAGTCTCATATATATATATATATATAGACATGCATATACATATCAGATAATATCATAATATGTATATAGACATATATATATATATATATATAGACATGCATATACATATCAGATAATATCAAAATAGGTATATTTACATATATATATATATATATATATATAGACATGCATATACATATCAGATAATATCATAATAGGTATATTGACATATATATACGTTTATATATATATAGACATGCATATACATATCAGATAATATCATAATAGGTATATTGACTTATATATACGTTTATATATTTATACCACATACCATACGTGTATAGATAAAAGCAATGATACTTAACATTTTGTAGCAGTTTTTAATTTTTATGTGCGGGTTATTTGGGTTGGTCTCAGATATATTTCCTTTTTTTTTTCTGTCATGATGTCTTCAGTTTCGATTATTGAAAATCCCAATATAAAAGGTCTTATTTAGGCAATAGTTTGTATTGTATTTGACTTGTGATGATTTACCTAAAATTAGACTTACCATTCAAGTAGAATTGAACAAACTATTTTTGATCTGTTGGTAGATTTTTGAGATTTCTTCTATAAACATTGAGAATGAAAGGCGAAACGACGCGCCAATGATCTTAGGAGACGTTTGGTTTATCGATTAGAATCATGAGATTATAACTATTTTTTATTTATGTGTATTTTTTATGAGAGAAAACACTATAACGAACTATAAACCATGATTCAAATCATAGTATGAATCTACTTACTAAACGTCTCCTTATTGTTTCATAAAATAAAATAGTAAAGAAAGGTTCAAATTTTAAAATAGTACTCGTTGCATGGAAGTTTCTATAATATTGTTTTTTTTAATAAGTAAAATTCTATGATTTTTTTAATGTCTTTTTATATATAACATTGTTACTTGCTTATGTAACTTGTAAGTAACTATATCACATGAGTAATTCACCAAAAAAGAAAAAAAAACTATATCACACAAGTAACATGAATAAAATTGAATATACAAAAAAAAACACACACACACACAAGGAAATTGAAACTTTTTGCAACTCATATTTATGCCACTAACAATCTAATTTGTTGAATTGTACTATTGGTACGAATAAAGTTTAAAATATAAATAATATACTAAACTTTAGACGCGCAGGTTGATTCTATATAAAAAGGAAAAAGAAAAAAAGAAAAAGACAGAAAAACAAAAAAGAGAAAAATGGGCAAAAGGGCAAAAAAAAAAAAAAAAAGGAAAGAAAACATTAGATAAAGAAACAGATGGAATCATTATAGATGATAGCGACGTGATCGAGCGGTTCCTGTGAACCCACGTCTGCTCCACTGGTGGTGTCCACTGTCAAGCGTATGACAAGGGCTACACATGGAGCAGCTAACACGTGGCAGACATATGCTGGGACCCACAATACAAGCGTGACAAAAAAATATTGGGGACCCCACTATCTTTATAAAGAAGGAAATTTTTCTGCTTTGGACACCCTCGATGGGAACAGATTCGTAATATTGGAAGATTTTATAGCACAAGAGCAAACGCAGAGGGCCCACCAAAGATTATATTTGCAGGGACCCCACACCAAAGATTTTACCACAAATTACATAATTTTGATTATTGATATTATTATTATTATTATTTTAATTATTTTTTATTATTTCCCCTCTGTCTGTGGGTCCCTCAACCCAAACCTCACCCTCCGATCTTGTTTCGCATGTCTCATTCACTCACGATCATTGCACCAGATTAATTCCATGGTCTCCACTCTGGCACTCTCCACTGCTTAGATCATACACATACATACATACATATATACATATAATATATATATATATATATTTTTTTTTTGTGCCTCACATATATTTGTAATTGTTGTTGTGGTCCTCCTAACTTTCCCTTTTCAGTACTCTAAAATTCTAATAATTATGTTGGCCTTCCGTTAGTCTGCTTGCTCAAAACTGGGTCGATTCTCTGATCTTCACAGTTTAAATTGTAATATTGACTGGGATTTTTCCCCTTTTGATTTTCCCTTTTTTGCCTTTTTATTTTTTGCTTTCCAAAAGCAATCTTGATTTTGTCAAAACTACGTCCATGCTGGGGCATCTCACTTTTTTTTTTTTTTTTTTTTTTAAAAGGGATATTTTGGTAAGATTTTATTGCGTTGTAGTTCAATATATTCTGTCAACAGTAAATAATCTTAGGTTGTTTATCTTACTCCTTAAAGTTTCCTTCTAGCTAGGTACATTCTATATATATAGATATTTTGTCGGTTAATTTTATTTCAGTGGAATAATTGGTTAATTTTATGGACCATAGATAATATAGCTCATTGGAATATTGTTTTTCTAATAATTTTGCTTCACACAAAATGGATAATTCAGATAAAGTGACACAAAAGCGAAAAGAAAGAACTTTGTACATATTTATTCCTGAAGTATATTTGTATGTAAATATCCTAAAAAAAATTGATATATATTTCTTAGATGAATATGGTAAGTTGTCTGGCTGATATAAATATTAGTCACATCCCATATTCCAAAGAAGGGTTTTGTATATAGGTGGTGGGGGGCACCATGTTAGTTGAAACAAAGATTTCCAATCAAATATGATTTTAGTATGCAAAGAGAAACTAATGAAATATTCCACGTTAGAAAGAAATATTTTGGAAAAAGAAAAATAATTAATGGAGGAAGAAAGGTCAAGAGAAATATCTAATTAAAAATAAGATTGAGCAGTTTAATTAGTTAACCACTTTTGTCAAAGTCTTTAATCAAATCCCAATTCAACATCCCCCAAAATCAACTCCTTTTAATTTCTCTCTCTCTCTCTCTCTCTCTCTCTCTCTCTCTCTCTCTCTCTCTATCATGACCAAGTGGGAAAAGATATATACCCTCCGGATTTTCCTTGGCAATCAAACAAAATTCAAATGAAGAAAAAAATAAAGAAAGAAAGAGAAAGAGGGACAACAAGTGGTTGTACCAACGCGGTGGAGAGAATCTATTAAGAGATCACAACATGAAAAACACACACACAAGAACACAACGACAATTAATATACATCTTTTTCTCTCATTTTTTTTTTTTGTTTGGAAAAAAGAAATATTATAGTTTTGCTTCTCACCCACCACCTACTCGATAAAACCTACGGGAACAGACACCACACCATCTCTCATTCCCATTTAGCACGCTCTCTCTCTCTCTCTCTCTCTCTCTCTTCTCTCGCTCTCTCTCTCAAATAAAAAGGCCTTCAATATTGATACAAAAGAATATACAATTGGGACTTATGAGTTGTGAAATTCTGTAGTGGGTTTTCTTGTTTCATTTTCATGTATTATTCAGCTGCCAATAACAACAGAAGAAGAAGATCAAGAATAATATGGAGGTGATGGAATCAGATCATGTTCATCATGCAATTGAAGAGCAACAAGAACAACAGCATTTTCATGTCTTGGCTGTGGACGACAGTCTCATAGACAGAAAGCTCTTGGAGAGGCTCCTTAAGGTTTCTTCATACAAAGGTACTATATGTCTATATATATGTATATAATATATATATATATATATCATTTATCATATCATTCTCTTCCAATGAGTCCACCCCATCTTATTACGCTTTACCCTTTTTCTTTACCTTTGAAATGACATGGAGATAGCAAGATATAGAAAATATATATCCCTTTAATTAGCTCAGTAATTTGGATTTCCATTATTTAGTGGCTTTGTGCATGTCACTAATTACTCTTATTGTTCTAGAGCTCTTCAAAAGTATATATATACATATATATGTATATATATGTGTGTGTGTACATATGAGTCGTGTTGATTAATGTACTGCTTCGATAGAGATTATAAATAATATACTCATATATATACATATATGCACACGTATATGAATAATGATATTGCAGTGCTTATTATTTAATTTTGCTTAGCACAGTGACTTGCGTAGATTCCGGAGACGAAGCTCTGAAGTATCTGGGTTTGGTTGATGATGACGTGGACAAAAATTCTCCTGCTTCTAGTTCTTCATCGTCTTCCCCACAGTCACCGGCACAAGATGTGAGATTTTTTCTTTTCTGCTTTTATCCCACTAATATATATTCCAAGTTTTTTTTTTTTTTGGTAATATTCTAATGTGATTGCTAATTATACGAGCTCGTGCTTATAAGAAGAAACTTTTAACCAATTAGCCTGATCACTTAGTATGTATTAACTATTAACTAATTATATTAAGAAAAGAGAAACGATTGAAGGTACATTTTTGAAACATAAAATTCTAAAAATACCAACTAGGGACTTATCGCTTGTCCAAAATAATAAGAGCCTAGGGAAGAAAACCCAACCTTCTATTGAGTATTGATCAACTCCAATTAATTTGAAGCTTTTATACCCTTTATACATATTTTTCTTCGATACACAAACTTATATAAATGTACTTCTGAGTATATGCTTTAATTATCTTTCCTATATATATTCTACCAAAATAAATTTACATATATCTTTCCTATATAGAGGATATTATACACGCACATATAAATGGACACACATGTATATATATATATATATATATATATATATATGGTCGTGTAATGGGTGAATTAATGCAAATATACGCGATAATGCATTTATATTTGATAGTGACTATGAGCCTCTTTAATTAATTATACAAAAGATGTCTATGATTTTTTTTTTTTTTTTTGGTTGGTGGAGCCTATGAAGTTGTAGTAGTACACATTGAAGAACGTTATAAGGGATATCTCACATCTAATAGGTGTTATATATATATATATATACACATTTGCATGGAAGCGAATACCAATTAAGCATTAAGAAAGAATTAATGATAAGTGAAGAAGACACTTTCATAGACCTAATCTGATCAGGCAGTGATTTTACGCGTGTGGACGCGATGGGTTAGGACATGTGCATTGGAAGGCAATCCCTTGAATAATGCTTAACCATGTTATGTTCATTGCATGTATATAGGTTTTACCAGAAATGTAGGTTCCTTAATTAATCAGGTTTAAGTTATTCATCGTCGGGATATCATATTTAGTTGGATTTTTGGAGTATGATAAAGTTGACATTAGAGATCTGGACATTTATAAATATTCCTTGAAGTAATTATAAATAGTAAAGCATGCATTATCTTTGTGCAATCAAATGCAGGGATTAAAAGTCAACTTGATCATGACGGACTATTGTATGCCCGGGATGAGCGGGTATGATTTACTTAAACGCGTCAAGGTATAATAAACCCTCCTAAATGATCTCTTCACTAGTGTATGTTATGGAGTGGTGTTTGTCAACAAGAATATATATATATATATATATATATATATATATATGAAATAAGAAAATAGTAGATTTAATGGTCTATGATTTGCAATGTAATTTCTCTTTTCAAAAGATATAATGATAAATTGGAAATTACATCACACAAATATAAAGGAGAAAGAATTGCTTTAAAACAAAAGTACAAAACTAGTCATAAGAAGTAGATATTTCATTTTATTATAAATATGCACTTTAATTGGCCGTACAATTTGTTGGATAAAAATGTGGAGTTTTTTTCTTCCTAACTTATGTTATACACATCACATTGATGCTTGAAATTTCGGCCGTGAGCAATAAATCATTATTTTATTTTTAATAATTACTTGTATTCCTTCTAATTAATACGGGAAATTTCAATACAATTAAAAAATCATCAGATCATATCAAAATTAAATCATATTAAACAATTTTTTAGAATTTAATAAAGATACTACTATTACAAACTGTGTACATGTAATATAATATCAATTTAAGAACTCTCCTTATTCCTGTTCCTGCAGGGATCTTCTTGGAAAGACGTACCAGTTGTAATCATGTCATCAGAGAATGTACCGGCCAGAATCAGCAAGTAACTCTTTCCTCAATTACTCCGGTCTTCTATTATTCAGTTTTCTTATTATTATTTTAAAGAAAAGGTCAAAGAGGGGAAGAAAAAGCACATATATATATATATATATAAACAGAGTTTTTCTTCAATCCCTTCAGAGAGACCGTCTGCAGGAACGTTTCTCTAATATAACATATAAAATTATAAAACGTAACGTGTTATTTATTGAACGTCATACCGATATTAAAAATATAAAATATCAAGATTATAAATTATTTTTGACTATTAAATAACTAAATTTAAATATAACAATAATACTAGTTAGTTAAAGTTTTTTATGTTACATTTTTTTAATATTTATGTTACGTTAAATAATTATAATATTTTGTTTCCACTTTCATATGTTATATCACAAACACCTTAAACGAAGCCTATAAATGAGGAATTATTCAGTACCACGTTATATTGTTTATATAATACACCTGTCTAATAAGATTGTATCATTTAGACATTTTGTTTATGTCAGCTTTTCACTAAATGATACATTTTGTATATATCAACTTTTTACTAAATAGTACATTTTATTTATTTCAATTTTTCACTTTATAAAAGTAAAAAACTGACATGTACAAAATATTTAAATAGTACAATCTCATTAGATGAGTGTATTAATAATATAATTTTATTGAACAAGTATACTATATAAGCAATATGACGTGGTACACCTAATATAAAATTCCTCCCTATATATATATATATATATATATATATACACATATTTCTTCAACATATATGCTGAAAATGTTACCAACACAACAGATGCTTGGAAGGAGGTGCTGAGGAGTTTCTCTTAAAACCTCTTCAGTTATCAGATCTAAAGAACCTTGAGCACTACCTTCTCAAACCCCTTCACCATTCTTGCCAAAGCAACATAATTTCCGACATAGCAGCGGAAGACTATCAAGATAACAAATTATTTTTGACTATTAAATAACTAAATTTAAATATAACAATAATACGAGTTAGTTAAAGTTTTTTATGTTACATTTTTTTAATATTTATGTTACGTTAAATAATTATAATATTTTGTTTCCACTTTCATATGTTATATCACAAATACTGTAAACGAAACCCATAAATAAGGAATTATTCAGTACCACGTTATATTGTTTATATAATACACCCGTTTAATAAGATTATATCATTTAGACATTTTGTGTATGTCAACTTTTCACTAAATGATACATTTTGTATATTTCAGTTTTTCACTAAATAGTATATTTTGTTTATTTCAGTTTTTCACTTTATAAAAGTAAAAAGCTGACATGTACAAAATGTTCAAATAGTACAATTTCATTAGACGAATGTACCAATAATATAATTTTATTGAACGGATATACCATATAAGCAATATGATGTGATACACCTAATATAAAATTCCTCCCTATAAATATATATATATATATACATATTTCTTCAACATATATGCTGAAAATGTTACCAACACAACAGATGCTTGGAAGGAGGTGCTGAGGAGTTTCTCTTAAAACCTCTTCAGTTATCAGATCTAAAGAACCTTGAGCACTACCTTCTCAAACCCCTTCACCATTCTTGCCAAAGCAACATAATTTCCGACATAGCAGCGGAAGACGACGGCGTTGATAGCAGCGACGACAACATTAATAACGACATCATAGACAGTAAAAGCAGCAGCAGCAGCAGCAACAACAACAACAGTATTATCAATAAGAGGAAGGCAGTATCTCCAGAGCCGTCGGAGAGAAGACCCAGAGCCAAAGGATTAGCTGTCGTATGAAAAAGTTAATTTAAGGAGAGTACTTTTCAAAGGCGGTCGTGGGTGAAAATTCATCAAAGTCACGCTATATCTGAATCCCAATATATGTATTATCCGGTGACGTTCCAATATCATGTCACTTTGGAGAGTATATAGGTATAGCTTTAGTTAAATATAATATGTTTGCGCAGTTTTTTTGGCGGCCAAAGTTTTTTTTTTTTTTTTTTTTTTTTTTTTTTTTTTTTTTTTTTGGGGCAAAATTTTTTTTTTTTTTTTTTTTTTTTTTTTTTTTTCCTGTCGCTCATAGGTAGTTTGGCTGCTTGCTTCTGTGTCACATGTGGTTCAGATTTAAAAAAAATAAAAAATAAAAAACGCCGTTAAACATGCAGAGGAGAAATAAAAGTTTAAAATCTTTTTTTTTTTTTTTGGTTGATCATAATTGTACTTTTTTTTTTCTCTCTCTTGTTAAATCAGAGAACTTTACTCCTTACGAAACACTCCATAGGAGGAAGTACCTTTATGTTTGAAGGTGCAACCCGTGGCTGGCTAAGACGAAACTATCATGTGATGAAGATGGACCCCACATGCCTGATGCCACACAAGTTAAACAGTACGATACGAATCTTGTTCGTGATAACACAAGAGTACTAAAAGATAAAGCTTCGTGAGGCAGTTCAATTCGACCAGCCAAAGTGTATTTTATGTCGTATCAATTACGGTACAATTCAATTGGATCTGAAGCGCTCGACGTTGCACTCGAAGACATTTGTGTGAACTGGGTTATGTGAAATGGTGATTCTTCTCCTTTAATAACTTTCAGCCATTCCACGTGTGAAACCCAGGTAATAAAGTAGGTTACTAAGCGTAACCTTTAATCGCTATAGGTAATTCTTAATCACATCTTACCCGTCAACAGAATGCCAGAAGCATGCCAAATGGAATTGTGTGTGTTAGGTATACGTGATAACTCCGACAATTTTGCTGATGCAGTGGAAATTCGTGGCAAATCAACTAAACATTAGTACTACTTAGTGTATGTTTAATAGTGATTCTTAAAATCTAAAATTAATTCTCTAACCAAAATTAATTCTCTAACCATCCACGACTTAAATTTGTGTTTGATAAAAATCATAAAAAGTAATTCTTAAAGAATTTTTAAAAAAATTACGGTCAAAATTAAAAACAGTCCAAAAACAATCTTAATTTTTAAATTGTGCGATAATCACCTTAAAATATAATTAATAAAACTTTCATAATACTCATAATACTTTTAAAATTAATATTTACATAATTATAATTTACCAAACACTCAATTATTTTTTATAATAATTGTTTTTTTTTTTCAACACAGCTAACAATAATTTTTTTTTAAAATCTAGTACCAAACTGACCCTTAGTTGTCAAAGGTAGGTCGCTCAGTTAGGCACGCAGATGACTTTTTGAGAGAGAAATCTACAGGGACAATAAAATGAAGTTTCCATAGATTTTTCGCTAAAAAGGAAGAGGAAAAAGAGAAATCATCTACCCCAACAGTAAAAGCCAAAAGGAGAAATATTATTGGCAGAAAATAGTGGACCAACAATGGCATATGCCTCGTGACTATCCCAACTTGGCATTGTTTTGGTAAAGCGCTGTCACTGCTATTAAGATTTGTTGCGAAGATAAAAAAGATTAATTCATGACAAACTCTGGTAATAAAGACGTAACTCAACGTTCTTATAACTTGAGGTCTCTACAATCACGACTTTTACAAGATGTAGCTAATCCCTGAAACTCGCGTAGCTACAAATGCAAAATCCCCACCACATTTATTAAAGAAACTAAATACGGAAGTGAAAAAAATAAAAATAAAAACATAAAAGCTGACAGGTAAGGGAGGTAAGACATTTTGATGCTGCTATTCAAAGTATAAGTCGACAGCTGCCACACCACAATGTCCGCCAAATGTGTACATGTACTGCAGAATAAGAAAATCACATTTTAACTTCAATACAAAAAGAAACTAAAGAAAAATTGATAAGAGGAAATTTATCCAAATATGTCGTACTTGTTTTTAGTGTAGTGCAAGTTCATGATCACATAAATAAGAGAGATGAATGGCACATCTGTGAATAATGCATCCTTTTCAGTCTACTACCATAGAAATTTCTCCTAGATATCAAGGACAGAAAACACTTGTTTATCGAGAAGAAAAAAGCATATTTATCAATGTCATGGCTCATGAGAGATTCTGTTTGTCGGACTAGACTGAGTACTGTGATTTTTTAATACTTGTGTTTCTCAATTCCCAATGTTTGACTTCTAGAGAATTTTTCTAGTCTAGGTACTAAATTTCCGATAGAAGTGCCTATAAGGAAGATGAAAATTTGAGAAGTATTGACAAAAGTTGCAAAACGCATATAAACTTAAAACCAAATTGTGAAAAGCATAAAAACTTGAAGAAATAAAATCCGCAATTACCATCCTTAGAGCTCATCTTTTCCTGATTCTTCCTTTTCAATCTTTTTTCCTGATTCTTCCTTTTCAATCTTTTCCCGGTTCTTCTCAATGAAAGCAATGATGGCTTCCTTTGTCCTGTCCTCATCATATAGCAAAATTTTACCACTTGCGGTCTTGAAATACACGGTGGGATAACCCTTGACCTCAAAAGTATCATTTGGGATATCATTTGCTGTGGAATCCTGGAAATTCACCAGAAATGAGTTATTATACTATGAACAAACTTTTAACCACTAAAAAAAATAGAAATTCAAGGAAAAATGTTGGGCAGCAAGCAACGACGTGAATGTACGCCTCCACACAACAAATATTGTCAAAAAAAGATCATAGGATAAACAGTATGCTCAACATAGTTATGCAAGGACACAGAACTTACAAGCTTTGCGATAATAACATCAGGATCACTTTCATATGAAACAGCAACTTCCTCCAAGATAGGAGCAAGACTCTTGCAGTGTCCACACCAAGGAGCATAAAATTCCAATAATACTGCAGAAAAATGTCAACATGGCAACATTATTTCAAAGTCTCTATAAAGGAACCATAAGAAAAGCAACATTGCTAGTATATGAATAGCACACCAATCCCAAAGCCTTAAAGCTGGCCATAAAGTTAAAGAAATTAAGGGAAGGAATCTATATTCCTCGTAAAGAAAACACTCAAACAGGAAAGTAAAGAAAACCAAGAGTAACACAAGAACTGAAAGCCTTAAAAGCAAAAGAAAACCGAGAATAACACAAGAATTGAAAATCTAATGACCGAGACGCCAATTAAAAAAGAAAGAACAAAAAAAGCACAGATTTCCAATTATAAGCACCATTTTTGCCAGAGTTGAAAACTATCTCCTGGAGGGTGTCAGCAACGACCACTTTAACAGGTTCATTGTTTTGCTCCGGGATAGGTTCAGACTTCTTGTACGGCTGCACCTTGCCCTCCTGCAGTTATACCATCATCCACAAAGTTAAAAATGCATGAACAAAAATGAAAAATAGATAGTAAAGTTATTTTCTTCCTGTGTCACCTTGAATTCCTTGACCCAAGGTGCAATATGATCAGGCTCCAGATTTGGCTTCAAGTACTTTTGGCCGTCATTGGTCTGTATGACTATAAGGGGTACTTGATCCTCTCTTAGTCCAAAATACTGTAATACATATCATAGAACAATTAAACTACCAAAAAGTATATATGCGACATAACAAATATAAACTTGGAAAAGAAAAACTTGATTTGTGGGATTATAAGCAGAGAAAAGCAAAACAATGTTACTAATATTTTTGTTGCAACGCAAAAATAGAGTAACAATTAATAGAAACTGGCCAAGGAAAGCCACACACCTGGAAGGCACCTTGACTGGCCTCGAGATCTCCCACAAGAAAGCTTACACCCTCTGTTCTAAATTTCTCAGCAACTTCGTGAAATTTTGATCTAAAAGCATCAGCAATGTCACTGCTGAAGCTCAGAAACAACATTGCCTACAAAAGTCCAAAACTTATCAAAGACAAATAACGAAAGGCATGAAACTTCGAAAGATGCTTAACAAGTTACAGAAAAGCAAGCGTTACATCTAATTATGATGCTAAGCAAGTTACAGAAAGGCAAGCGTAGACATCTAATTATGATCAACCTGGTAACTATGTACAAGGGGAAAAAAAAAAGAAAAGAGGAAGAAGAAGAAGAACCTGGTAACTACTTTATGCAAGGAAACTTTTAAACTATATGCAACATCCAATATACATGTAGTAACATATTGCAACAGTAAGTTTTATGGTGCTTGTTTGAGAATAGAAAAGTTGGTAAATATATCAGCTTTAAAAAAAAAATAGTTATAACATTATGTGCATGACCATCCAGTTATTATGACCTGAATCACGACTAGATCAGCCGATGTGAAATGAGAATATCTTACTCTTCATGTATGAAATCACCCAAGCAAAAGCAGGGCTATACAAGTACCTTTGCATTCTGGCTATTAAAGAATTTTATAACAAATGGGTGATTGCTGCGGTCATTGTCAAACACGGTCACAATCGGCACACTAGCATCCTCAACAAACTTCTCAGAAGCAGCAACATCAAAATCCTGCATACATGATTCCCCGATAAGATTTCTTGCCATAGTTTATAAAAAAAAATAACTCTTCCTAGAAAATTTGCCTAATATCTTAAAAACTTTGTCAATTACGCGGTACCTTAAAGTCAACAACAAGTTCGTCGAACGGTTTAAAGAGTCTAATCAAAGGCCCAGTAACTGATGATTCACCACGTGGGAGGAGCTTGGCGTCCGTAGTATGACCAAACTCATAATCAGAGCGCAATTTCTCAGATAAAGCCGTGTATTTCTCAAACTCTTCTCCAGACAATTTTGGGAAAATACCAACCTGCAAAGTCATGTGTGTATTACAGCCATAGAGCTTAAAAGAGCAACAGGGCAAAATTCAAGGAGGAAAGGAGGTGAAATAGAGCACTCACAACGACAATCTTTTTGTCTACAATAAGATTACTAGCGTCTTCCACCGACTTGATCTCCACAGAAGCAGGGCCACTCTGTTTCTTCAGATATTCAACAATACCATCTGCTTCCCGTGGTCCGTTGTAATCCTGACTAGACTTGCCTCCGTTTCTCAAAATCTTAATTGTTGGGAAACCCTTGACATCAAATTGAGCCGCGAGATCTTTGTTTACTTCCTCATTCGCATCAACTTTGGCCAAAACGATTGGAGGATCATGACTGCTCAATATGGAAGCCGCTTTTTCATACTACAAGTAATAGATTTTGTTGTCAGTTTTTTTGGTGCGCCTATAATTTTCTCAATAACATGTTTACAGTTCTTTTTTATTTTTTTTTTATTTTTGAAGAATGAAATTAACACTTCTTACCTCTGGGGCAAGATTCTTACAGTGGCCGCACCTGAGAAAACGAAATACAAACCAGAATTGAAATTAGATAGCGCATTTCTATTAAACAAAGCATAAAACAGACGATTAGAAGTCAAAACCCGTATCTGAATAACATGTAAAGGGGAAATTTTCATCGAGTAACCTAAAAGAAAATTGATGTGCTCTGATCGCAAAAATTGCAAAATTAAAAAAAAAATAAAAGAACAATTTTCCACCCATGCATGCAAAAAATGTGAAATTGAAGGAATTTGCATCGGTTTTCACAAATTAAATCCGGATAATTCGAAATTGAAGGACATTCAACCAGTGCATGTCGTTAAAGTTTCCACCTTTATGTTTTCGGAAAAGAAAAATAAAGACAGTTTCTGCCTTTGTCGCGAATTCGTATAACCAACAGTAATTTCCAACCAAAATCAAATAAAAATACACACAATCTCACAAATTATCAACGAACAAAAAAAAAATCAGATTCTGAAATTGACAATTCAGATCCGAAAAATTGCCGAGGAGAATTAATCAAACAAGAACCGCGACGACCAAAAACGGCAAGCCATTGAACAGTAATAAAATAGGCAAGATTTAACCGTACCACGGAGCGTAAAACTCGACGACGACGAAGTCATGCTTGCCGACGGTGTCGGAGAAGTTGGAGTGGTCCAAAGTGAGAACGAACTCCTTCGATTCAGACTCTTCCGCGCGCACTCCAGTCAAAGACAGGAGACAAACAACCATAAACCAGATCGGAACCCTAGACGCCATTTTTCTCTCTCTACGAAGCTTGGTGTTTTGGGGAGTCCTTTCTGATTTCTTTCTCTGGGTCTGGGTTTTAAGGAGGTGTAAGCGTAAAACGACGATAGATAGAGTAGAGCGAAAACGAAATAAACATGGTGCTCACACGTGACACTTCTCTTAGATATTTTGTTATTCACATCTCGCGAGTACCCAAATTACGTGCTACTCGCTCCGTCATTAGACGATTTACACGTGGACATGTGTTATTTGCGAAGTCTCGTCACCGGTGTGCTGTTTTGGTCTGGGACTGAAAAGGAAATCAATTTTTTAAGAATAAGGGAAAGAGAGTTGCTCACGGATTCGAGTATTTAATTTGAATTGAGCCATAATTTTATTTGAGAAATTTTTATTATAGTAAAAAATATTAGATATAATTTTTTATAAAAATTTTTAACTGAAGTAAAATTTAAATTAACAAAATAAATAAGACTTTGTTCAAATGATACTTCGTTTATTGGTTTCGAAAATTAAAAATGAATAAATTAAGTTATTTGTTATAAAAATTGACACAAAAAAATTGAAACTAATTTGAAAATATCTTGTTGTCTCATTTTTTGTCTCAGTGGCTGTCATTTTAATTAAATTTATTTAAAAATTTTTAGTATTTTATTTTTATTCGCGTGCTATGATTAGATTCTTAAATTGAGATGACGTGATAAATAAGTAGAGATATTTACTGCCACTAAAATAAAAAAAATGAGGACAGTAAATCTGAACTCTTAAATTTATGGTTTGAAAATTAAATTTAAGTTAAAGTAACTAACGACCCATTAGAAGGGTACTCAAACATAATTCTTAATTTTAACATTTGAAATTTAAATTTTTTTTGTAAGAAAAAGACATTGTAACATAGTATATGAAGGGCGAAGAAGATGGTACCCTTAAGGCTAAATCTTTTTCAAAATTTTTTGAACTGGCTTTTTGAACTTTTGAGATATATCATTTTCTTTTCTTTTTTTTTCACTTTTGCTAAATTATTCATTTCAAATGTTTGCCATAATCTTTTTTAATATATAAAAAAAGCTTCTCTGGTGGGACAATAAAAAATAAATTATTGATAGTTCTATATCTTTAGTCATTAGATTTATTTCATAAATAGTGATTTGGATTTATATCAGAAACTTCTAATATCACTGATAGATCAGACCAACCAGAAAAACTCCCTAAAAATTTAATGTTTAAAAGTTTGTCATAAATAATCCCACAAGTTGTACTGCAATAAAATTTTTTGATTGGTTAAAAAAGTAATGATGATCACTATGATAACAAAAACATTTCAATTTGAAAGAAAATATACTACAAGAAATTTTTTTTGATTGGTTAAAAAACTAATGATGATGACGATGATAACAAAAACATTTCACTTTGAAAGAATATTCTCCTCTTAGACACTAGTATGATGTCGTGCCTATGGTATTTTTGTGGTTTTAGGTTTCTTAGAACTTGTTCATTTGCATTTTTTTAGTTAGGGTGACTTGAGTTCAGATTTTGATTTGAGTTAAGGTGTATTTGAGTATAGTTTGAGTTAAGATTTCAATTTGAGTTTGTGTTTGGATGTGCACATTTTGAGTTACGATTTGAATTGAGAATCTATTTGAGTTTGTATTTGGGTAGATTAAAACTTGAATTTGTATTTGAATAGTATTTTAATAAAAACTCAATGGTGATGGAAAATTTTAATATGGTATATGGGTGGAGTTTTATTCATCTTTTCGTTGTGAACGCATAGAAAAAAAATCATCTCAATCAGAATAAAAATGAAAAAGTTATAGCGTTTCTAATAATAGAAAAAATATTATTCATTAACTTGAGTTTGAGTTTAGGAACTTGAACTCATATTTTAGCCCCAAACTCAAGTTCAAACTCAAATTTTATAAAAGAACATGAACTTGAATAAAATTGTAACTTGAGTTTAAACTTTTTTTGAATTTAGGTGCAAATTAACAAGCCCTTAGTTTTTAAGATATTTTACACTTTTATCCCCTGAATTTGTATGGTTTTAATAACTTGTACTCCGAACTTTCCTTGGCGAGCACAGAGAAAAATATTGTTTTCAATGATACATCAAGAAAAATATTATTCTTGGACAATATTCAACAACTCAAGATGAATTTCAACTATACTTTAAAAAAAAAATAAAAAATAAAAAAAAATAAAAAATAAAAAACTCACCAAATAAGGGCACAGAAAGGAGTACCATGGAGGGGATCAAACTGAGAACAAAGTGAAAGTCGGTATGATTAGAAAGCTTATTGCATGGATTAATAAGCTTTATGTTACGATGCCACTAGAAGAAAATCTTATCTCTAGAGTAGTTGTTATTTTATTCCTTATTTTTCTCTGTTTAATATTTGAATTAGTCATAGATGTTTAATCATTGAATTAGTTGTAGACGTGTGAACGTGTCTGTTTTCAGTTATTGTTTCCTACTTTTATGCATGTGAACGTTAAGCAAGTCATTATATAAGACTTGGCTGATTCTAAATAAAGGGCATTGAACAATTATTTGACTTTTGAGTTATTAGGAGGCATTGGTTCCTCATATAAGCCAATAAAGTTTCACTTTTTGTTTCCTTAGTTGTTGTACGTATCATTTTGGTATCAGAACGCCAGGCATGGATATGCAAGATCGAATGGCGAAACTTGAAGAGACAGTGGCTGCTCTTGCCACAAGTCAGAAAGAGATGTTGGGTCACATAACTGAGAGAATAGAGCAGCTCAGCCAACAAGTTTCCGGCAAAAGTAAGGACGAAGGCGAGCATTCCGCTAACAAGGGCGGTGGCTGAACTAGCGTCAACTCCGGCATCAACCGATTGGGTTCTCTCTACAATTACATCCCCAAGACCTTAAAGATTGATTTTCCCCGTTACGATGGCCGCGACGATCCTACGACGTGGGTGTGTAGGGCAGAAAAGTATTTTTCACTCCATGATATTGTTGAATCTGATAAGGTCACTTTGGCCTCATTCTATTTGGAGGGTGATGCCCAGCTTTGGTTCCAAATATTAGAAGGAGAACTTGTTTATGTTACCTGGGAATATCTCAAGCGAGGAGTCTTCTCTCGTTTTGGCCCCAACCAATTTGAAGATCCGTTTAGTGAGCTCATTTGACTTCGACAAATTGGTTCGATGATTGATTATCATGGAAATTTTGAGAAGCTATTAGCTAAGATTGGTTCTCTCTCCCAAGAGAGGAAGGTGCGCTTTTTCGTCACCGGTCTGAAGGAAAGTATTCGTACGGACGTAAAAGCTAACCCACTGGCTACGCTTACGATGGCAATTGGCTTGGCAAAATTATATGAAGCTCGTGATTTTGCACTGAAGAAGCCAACTTATCAAGCAAACCGACCAATGAATCCACAACGAGCCGCACCAAGTATCCTGGAGCGCAATTCAACGAGTGCCCCAACAGTCAAGTGCATGACGACAAAAGAGTTGGCGGAACGACGACGGAATGGATTGTGTTTTCATTGCAATGAGTGTTAGAGAGATTGTAATATATCTCTCAATCTTGATATCACAAAATTGGATTAAAACACATTCGGAAAGAGTAGGCTGACGCAAGCACGCGCTGCAGCGCGGAAGAGTGCGCGCTGCAGCGCACGGACGCGCTGCAGCGCGCGTTTAGGCGCTGCAGCCTGCGCAAAATAGACCCTCGGGTCTGTTTTGCTAGGCACGCGCGCTGCAGCGCACAGAAGCGTGCGCTGCATCGCACGGGCGCGCTGCAGCGCGCGTTTGGGCGCTGCAGCCTGTGCAAAACAGACCCTCGGGTCTGTTTTGCTAGGCACGCGCGCTGCAACGCGCGTTTGGGCGCTGCAGCCTGCGCAAAACAGACCCTCGGGTCTGTTTTGCTAGGCACGCGCGCTGCCGCGT